GGTTACTTCACCCCTAATCCAGTCGTTTGTGTTCATCCATTTGTCATTAAAGTAACACAGAAATTTAGACACTTTTGGTGATGCCTGTGTCATACTGGTGTTGGTATTATAATCATTCTCATTTTCATTACTTGAATTTTTAGAAAACCTGGTCACAATATTGGTGTTGTTACAAATTGAACTAGCACTCTTTAGATACAAAGTGTAAATTAATCCACAGGCAATGTCACAGATAGACTGTTGTGCACTCCATCACAACACAGTTGCACACTGTGCATGTCGTTCCTGGTGGATGGTCTGTTACTGTGAACTGCAAATTGCTGTTGCCACATCAGCAGGAAAGCAACCACGGTGAGTATGGAAGACAGTGAATCTATCACACATCCATTTGATACAAAAAACAGTGTTGCTTTCTGCTCCTATATATATTTTTTGGCCATTGTATGGGTCTTGTACTTTTGGTTCAAACTTCCACATCCTTTCCTCAAAACCAGGACTTCTCACACCCTGGGAAGGAGTTTTCAGGATATAGAATTTTCAGTGCTGAAACCAGGGTAGCCCTGGAGTAGCCAGGCTGGTTGGTGGCCCCAGCCAAGGCCTGCTCCTTTCCTTCATGGCCACCTCCCTGGTGGCATCATGGCCTCATAGGACAGCAACGGAGGCCTAGGTGAGGGCCTGCAGCTGACTCCGTGCTGCCGGCTCACAGCTGATCAGCAACGTGTTTCCAGCTTGTGGGCTGCAGGGAGTGTCAAGGGAAGCATGTTTGTATTGAAATATCTTGGCTGTCAGCATATTTATCTTATTTTACTTTATTTTGCAGGAATGGCTTCCTGCAGCTCTGCCACTGAGTGAGAGAACGTCTTTGGAAATATTACAATTTTCTTTTTCCTTTTCAATTCCGAGAAGCTGCAGAGTCGCCAGAGCCCGGAGTTGGCATAATGTAAATGGTAGTATGCCCAGGTTTTTTTCTGTTCTGTCCACAAAGATGTGTGACCCTGAGCAAGTCATTCTACCTGTTTAGTTCTCATTTTCAAATTTTATAGCAAAAGAATCCAAATGACTGGATTAAAAATTGGCAAAGGACTGGAATAGACGTATCTCCTATGAAGACATACAAATGGCCAACAAGCCATGAAAAGATGCTCAACATCACCCAGTCACCAGGGAGATGCAAATCAGAACCCCAATGAGATATTACCTCACACCTGTTAGGATGGCTGTATCAAAGCAAAAAGTGAAACCAGAGAGATAAGGGCTGGCGGGGCTTGGCAGACATTGGAACCTTCCTGCAGTATTGGTGGGAATGTAAAATGGTGCAGCTGCTATGGAAAACAGTGTGAAGGTCCCAAAATGGTAAAAATAGAACTGCCCTATGATCCACCAATCCCACTTCTGGGTATTTATCCACGAGAATTAAAATCAGGCTCTTTAAGATACATCTTCACTCCCATGTTCACTGCAGGATTATTCACAATAGACAAGGCGTGAAAGCAACCATTACGTCCATCCATTGACATATGAGCCAATAAAGAATATGTGTTGTGTTTTTATATTTATATGTCTATATATATAATAGAAATAAATATATATTTACATGTGCATATATAATGCAATATATAAGTGAATATTGTTTGGCCTTACAAAATAAGGAAATCTTGCTATTTGCACCAACATAGATGAAATTTGAGGACATTATGCTAAATGAAATAAGCTAGATGCAGAAATGCAAATACTGCATGATTCCACTTATGAGGCATCTGAAATAGACAAATTCACAGAAACAGAGTAGAATGGTGGTCTCCAGGGACTGGGAGAGGAGGAAATGGGGAATTGCTGTTTAAATCACATAACATTTCAATTATGCAAGATGAAAAACTTCTAGAGATCTGCTGTGCAACATTGTGCCTGTAGTTCCAATACTGTGCTGTGTACTTCAAATTTGTTAGAAGGAAAGGTCTCATGTCAAATCTTCTTACCTGAAAAAAAAAAAAAAAGAAAGAAAATGAAATTAAAAAAGAAAAGAAATGAGAGGCCTCTGCCATCCCTTTGCCAAGCCTGGCTGGGTGCTCACGACCTGTTAAGCACGCTGCGAGGTGCATTGATGAGCTGTCTACCCAGAGCCAAAGGCTGTGAAAACCCATGACGCATTCCCACTGCGGAGGAGAAGTTGGCAGTCGCAGCCTCCGCAGTCTCAGTGTGATCGGGGGCCCTGGTCCGTGGTGCTGATCAGTTTCCTGTTCTCTCCTGATGCCCACAGATACTGAGGCATTGGTTATGTTGTCCCCAAGAGTCCCACCAGGCTGAGAACTTGGAGAGCAGTCTGCACACCTGATTCTAAATGAATTACTCAACCTCTCGAAGACATATCTTTAAAATGGGACAATAATAGAGTTGCGTTTGTATTTAATGAGGTGGTACCTGCAAGGGCTACGTGTGGCGCCCATCACCTAGTGTCTGAGTCTGTTAAGGCTGATATAACAAAGCACTATAGACTGGGTGACTTATAAACAGCAGAAACTTATTTCTTACAGTTCTGGAGGCTGGGAGTCTAAGGTCAAGGTGCCGGGAGATTCGGTGTCTGGAGAGGCCATGTTTCCTGATGGCATCTCTGGCCATGTCCTCACACGATGGCAGGGGAAAGGGGTCCCTTTGGGCCCCTTTAATCAGGGCACTGATCGCACTCATGAAGACCCTGCCCCCCATGACCTCCTAAAGGCCCCAGCTCCTAATACCATGGGCTGTTAGGGTTTCGACATAGGAACCTGGCAACACAAACATTCATTCCGTAGCACCTAGTAAGTGCTCAATATTAGCTCTCATTTTTATTACGTTTCAGAACCTGCAATGCCATCCCTCTCTGGGTGGCTATTCTAGCTCCCAGGCCGCCTCCTGCCATGTCACCTCATCCTTGTGTTCTGGAGGTTTTTCCTAATTTTAAGCCAAGCACCACTCATTGATATTTTAGGTATTTCCCCCCTTGCTTCCCTCCTACCACTTCCAGAAATAATGTGGAGCTGCCAATCCCTTTTCTTGCATAGCAGCTCAGGACTCCTTGAATTATTCGCATATCAGCTCCAGCCTCATCCTGGAGCTTTGTTCTTGGGCCAGAGCAGCAACACGGGAGCGGGACAGAAGGGCAGGGCTTGGGCCCCACCAGGCACAGGTCTGGAGTCCCTCATCGTTTCTGAGCAACCCAGCAGCGGCAGGAGCCCCTCAGCCCATGGCGGTGCTGGCCGTGTGAATAAGTGAGGGGAGCCCTGGTTCTGACCAGCGAGCCACGCCGGGAGCTGGGCCTTCTCCGGGCTGGGACTCGACTTCCACGCAGGAGGGCTCCCGTGCAGTGCCGAGGCAGGAGCCGTCCGAGGTCTCGTGGGTGTCCGGAGGCGGGCGCCGAGGGGAGCTGATGCACCGGTGCTACGGGCAAGAGGAAGACCTCGAACTCTGCCTCCAGACAGCGGGTGGGAGCCTTTCCACACTCTGCCTTGGATCTGAAACCAAAGACCTCCACTGAATTCTGATTCTTCGTGGCTGTCTAGACTGCTGGTCTGGCAGAGACGGTGTGTCTGGGGTGAGGCTGGTGGGCCTGGCCTCTTTTCAAAGAACCAAAACAACTTAGACAGTGATCTGGCAGGCCACATAGCCTCTCTGGGCTTCCTTGTTCTTGTCTATGTAAAAGAGGGTTAATACTATTTGGTCAAATTTGATAATGAAAGTGATAAGGCAATATATTCATGGATTTTCTGTTCATTTATTCATTTCATTTGTTCATGCATTCATTGATTCATTGGTAGGACGCACTGCACTAGGTCTATACATTGAGGTTACAATTGTGAACAAGATAGACAATTGCTTGCCCTTGTGAAATTTACATTCTGGGGGAAACCACACAATAAACAAATGTATATGAGTCGAGGAAGAGTCTACATGTGGGAGGAGAGACTGGTATGTTGGAGAAGCCTGTTTGCTTATCACGAAGTTAAGCTGCACCCACTGCAGCCTCCAAGCTCAGCAGGTAGGGCCTGGGATGAAGGCTGTGAGGACTCCCCGGCTGATCACTCTCTGGGCCTCTTTGGCTGACGTCGCGCTGCTAACTTGACGTCTGGTGCTTACGCAGCACCGTATAGAGTCCTCTGGAGAGAAATGTGCTCTGAAAGACGGAAAGATGGCGCTGTGCAGAGCAGTTTGCTGTCGGAGCACTGCTGCATACTAACTGGATAACCTCGGATACAGTCCCCCCCCCTCCCAACACTCAGTTTTCTTATCTGTAAAAGAAGGATGAGGAGATCTAACTTTACAATATGTGCAAAGTGCTTAGCCATGCCTCTGCATATAGTAAGTGCTCAATAAATGTTACTTTAAAAAATTCTTGTTATTTTTGGTGGAAAATGAGCACTTTTAATAATATGCTTGTTGTTTTCTGAAGTTTACATTTGGGTTCATTCTTGGTGCTGTGCACTCTGTGGGTTTGGACAAATGCGTGCCATGTGTCTACATTTACAGTATCATATAGAGCAGTTTCCCTGCCCTGAACATACTCTGTGTTCTGCCTGTTCATCTCTCCCTGCTCTGTAACCCCTGGCAACCACTGATCTTTTTACTGTCTTTATAGTTTTGCCTTTTCCAGAATGTTATGCAGTTGGAAGCATACAGTCTGTAGCCTTTTCAGACTAGCTTCTTTTACTTAGTAACATGCATTTAGGGTTCCTCCACGTCATTTCACTGCTTGGTAGCACGTTCCTTTTTATCACCGAATAACTGTCTGGCTGCACCACAGTTTGCTTACCCATTCGCCTACTGAAGGACACCTGGGTTGCTTCCACATTTTGGCAAGTATGAATAATGCTACTAGAAACATCCATGTGCAGGTTTTTGTGTGGGCATAAATTTTCAACTCCTTTGAGTAAATACCAAGGATCAATAACACACTTTTGATGACATAATTATCTCTTTCTGACCAACTGGCAAAAAAAGATAAATTTTTACCCATTTATTAATGAAAATATAATTAATCTAATTAATGCATAACTATTTATTGCTACTTTAATCACAGTTACTGATCCAGATTGATTTAGAGCCTCAGGTGTTCATTAATTCAGCTGGCGTTTACCCAGCTTCTCCCTGGACGCTGCATATGGAGCGAGGAAAGGGCGATAAACGAGCTGCCGTCCGTGCCCTCGAGACTAGTCCAGAGGCAGGCCCGGCAGCAGGGGCGGCAACACGTGCTGCTGAAGGGTCGCGCAGGTCTGCACGGACACGTGCCGGATGCAGAGGTCATTTCCACACGGTGGGCCCTCGAGGGAAGGGATCAAAGAGGAGGCAGGACGGGAGGCCGCCTCTATAGTGAGCCTCCCCATGTCTCCCCAACGCCTCCAGTCTGGGCTGTGTCCCACCCTCCTGAGCTGTTGCACATTGCGGATGTGTGTGACAAACACCCAAGTGCATGGAAAAGCAGAGCGGAGGGAGAGAACGGGTGCAGCCACAGGCATTGTGCATGCGGCATCGGCAGGAGCTAATGACCAAGGGGGTGCACCGGCAGGGGTGAGAGAGAAGAAGGCTTATTCGGTTTTGTCATCACTGTCTGTATCTAGGGGAATTTGATGGGATCATGGCCATGACTTTTGACAGGTGGCACGAGCATGGTGTCCTGGAGGTTGACGCGATGCTCTCCTACTCGTTGGCCGGCTGGGCATTTCTTGTTCTCTTGGGCATGGGATGAGCTCCTTGTCATACCTTTGGTCTCCCCTGACCTGTCCTTGTCCCTGGCTTCTCTGGGAGGCCTCCCCACCCCTCCTCCCTGGGTTAAGTGTACCTGTCCCTGCAAACCCAGAGGAATCATGTTTCCCTTTTTCCGCCTCTCCCAGAACAGAACTGCTGATTGCGCTGTGACCGGGTGCAGACCCTATTCACATGTGACTGTCTCCACAAACGTGCTGATTACTTAAGTTGAATTTTCATGCTCAGACATTTAGAGGAAGCTTCAGATGCAAATTGTTTACAAATTCAACCTTTCTTGTGCCTGAACTCTGAATATAAGAAATATATTTGCATACATCTCTGAGTGCTAAACGGCAAGCACTGGTCCCATTACATACTCGGCCTGTCGGCTTCCTGCTTCCCGCCCAGTGGAGCCTGGGTGATTCCTCACCTTGGGCATTGCCACGCTGGGGTGAACTGGACACATATCTGGATGAGGTCACCCTGCGTTTATCTTCACGATATCTTGGGACCCAAACTGTCCCCTATACCTTCGATCACATCTTTACCGCACCCCATCCGTGTTGTGGTCTTACTCCTCACACAAAGTCCCCCTGGCTGGCTTCTGTCTACCCTGGTGGCGTAAGACATGTCCATGTGCCTCCTTGTCTTTCCCAGCCTTGCTGGCCTCCCCAGCCCACAGCCTGTGCTGGGCCTCAGCTGCTACAGCCCCAGCCTTGGGACTCTTCTGTGGGTCCCAGCTGGTGCCTTGCCCTGGACGGCGGGGGCTCCGCCGGCTGTGACTGTGAGGCTGTGCCCCTGGGCGCACGCTGACTCGGGGCTCCTCTGCCTACTCCCAACGTGGACGAGCCACCGTGTCCCAAGTGGGACCTGCTGCCCAGGATCTGCCCAAGGGCGAACAGCAAGACCCACCGGAGGGGCGTTCGCTCCCTGCAGAGCGAGCGACACAGGCGCGGGAGGCTACAGAAGTGACAGGGAGTCAAATTCCTCCCGCCCCACCGTGCCGCCCACTGCCCCAGTGGCCCCCCACTGAGTGGGGCCTCTGTGGAGGAGCCCACGACCGCAGGAGACGCAGAGTGGCTGTTTCTCCGCAGCGCGGCTTGAAGCAGAGGCCAGGGCAGCATCACCCGATCTTGAATCTTTTTGTTCTTCTCTTCTCATCTCCTGTTTCTCCCACACTCATTGCAGCAGGATAGCACCTGCCAAATAAGGCACAAGTTCAGATCCTTGTATCAGGCTCTATTTTCTAGGGAAATTGGGCTACATGGATTGCATCAGGAGTGGCTCCAGAAAGCTATCCGGATGAGATTTTGGAGTTGAATTACTATCTTGTTGGAGAGCAATTTGAGCTATGGTGGGATGGTCAGTGGTGTGGTTACAACCCCAAACACGCAGCATCTCATCTGGTTTCCTTTGGCAGAGGGGCGGAAGACAAGGAGCTGAGCACAGGTCGTGTATCTGGGTGTATCTGGGGTATCTGTGTATCTGGGTGTATCTGGGGTGATCTCAGGAAGCTAAAGTGGGGAGAAGGGACATTAAGAAGCACAATGGTGCCAGGTGCAGTGGCTCATACCTGCTATCCAGCACTTTGGGAGGCCGAGGAAGGAGGATTGCTTGGACCTGGGAGTTTGAGGCTGCTGTGAGCGATGACTGTGAGATGGCGCCATTGCACTCCAGCGTGGGCGACAGAGCAAGACACTGTCTTAAAAAAAAGCCAGTGGCAAAAAGCTACTGTTAATGTGTGTTATGGAGGTAACTCCTGGAGAAGAAGGGCTAGGTGTTGCCGAGATCCTGATGACATTCCACCTGCAGGTCACGAGGACGAGCACACTGGACGCCGAGTCCATCTCACGTTGGGCGTGAAACCTGTCTCCAGACACATTCTCTCCCCAAACCTCCACACCACACTTGTGCCGGGGCCCGTGATCCAGTAAGAGGTTGGTGGGCACCACGCGACAGGGTCTCAAGGCCTGAGCCTGGCAGGTGGGTGGCAGCTGAGGCAAGGCGAGAGGCTGGGGGGGAGGGAGGCCCGGAAGGAGGACGTGGGATGACCTGACATGTGTCGTTTTCCGTTGGGCACTTCCGCCACGAGGCCGACCTGAGTTTGCACAGAAGTGTCAGTCTCGGGCCCGGCTGACGTCGGAGGTGGGCCAGGAAATGATGTGGGAAACCAAGGCGTCTGCTGCAGACTGCGCCCAAGTCATTCAGATGGGCCGGGGCTCAGGTAGCTGTATTGCCCTTGACATCATTGTGTGCAGCATCACGACTGAGGAGCTGAGCACAGTGCGCCAGTCACCATTTTACTGCCTCTCGCCTCTAAATGCATCTTTCCTTGCCCTGCTGCGTGATGCTGGGCCTGGGCCCTGTGGCCACGCCTGTGTCCAGTGGCTCAGTGGTGCAATGCTGTGCGCTTTCAGTAACAAGCTCTGGAGGGAAGTTGCCAGGCCTGGCAGAGGTTGGGGCCTCTATTCCCGATTCTAGTATGTTCTTTGTTCCTATGGCAGCATGGCTAGCATTCCAGAGTCCCGGCGTGACCCAGTGGTTTTCTCTGGCACTCCAGAGGATGGCCTCCTGGGGACCATCTGGCACTCCAGAGGATGGCCTCCTGGGGACCATCTGGCACTCCAGAGGATGACCTCCTGGGGACCAGCCCTGGCTGCTGGCACCTGCAGCTGCCAGGCCAGACTCTTAGCTGGGGCGTGAGCCCTTTGCTTTCCGGCCCCCCCCCACCCCCAGTTCTAGAGGTAGCAGCTACTCTGCATTTGCGATGCCAATATGCCTTTGTTCCTTTTTTTCTTTCCCCTTTTAATAGTTAATCATGTCTTGCTAGTTAGTAATTTTTTTCTTTTCTTCCAGACACAGGGTCTGGCTGTGTCACCCAGGCTGGAGTGCAGTGGCCCAATCATAGCTCATGGCAACCCCAAACTCCATACTCTTGGCCTCAAGAGATCCTCCTGCCTCAGTCTCCCAAAGTGCTGGGACTACAGGTGTGAGCCACAGCACCTGTCCTAGTAAGTCATTCTTTATATTAAATTTTCCCTGCTCAAATTGCTAGGGTGTTCTCCGTGTCTTAACCGGAATTTCATGATCACACACGATCTTTGACTCCTGATAAGCAGTTACTTACTTGGTGAATGCTTTTTGCCAGTTTTCATAAGGAGGAGGCGCCCAAGGCAGTCGCTGTCACACAGCAAGGACGGCAATGTAGGTTTCCTCGTTTGCACCGTGGCTACACGACCTTTCTTGATCTCTTGCTGGGTTGCAGCCCAGAGGATCTCGATTTCCTGATGTTCTGGGGGTCGCCGTGCTGGTCAGGCAGAGAGCATCACGCCGCTGGACTGAGACCAAGAAGTGGCAAGTGCACGAGTGCCATGGTAAGATGCGGGCAGGCCAGAGATGGGAGACAAAGACCATGGCCCTTCACTAACCTGCATGAAATTTTGAGGGTCCTAAGGGGCTAGCGTGTGATGGCGTGTCTCACCTAAGATAAAGGACGCATTTCTGCTCCTCACACTTCCTACAACTAAAATAGGTGTTAATAGGTGTTCAGGTCCCTCTGGATTTTAAGAGCACCGTTTGCTGTGTTGTTAATACCTCCCTGACTGCTCACGGGTCCTGCCGAGGTTTGTGGCAGCTGCCCCAGGGATGCCCCAGCCCTCACCTTCCTGACTTGCTCTTGCTCTGTTTTCCCTCTCCCAGGTTCCCCGCTTGTGGCTCTGTGACTGCCCTCTGGTCGGGTGGGAGAGCCTGGTCTCCAGGTTGGATCTTAGCTCTCCCAGACTTGGCCTCTGGCTCTCGGCACTTCTATGCCTAGGCTAAACATTCTCCACTCCAGCGCGGCCCGGGCGTGGGGCCTGGCAGGGCCAGGGGAGCCTCCGTGAGTGCAGCGCCTGCATGGGCGCCTCTGCAGCTCGTGCCGGGAGCCCGGCGTAGGCAGACTCCTGGTGGACAGGAGGGTGCCCAGTGGGGTCCCCGGCTGTTTATGTGAGTGGGAATTTTTGTAGCTAAAAATCAGAGAACTGGTGCAGGGCTCATGTTATAGTTGATACTACAGCTGATACGGGAACCACTGTGAGATGTGGAGGGGGACTGGGATTTGGTGAGAAACAGAAGTTGTCTCCAGGGATGACCAGGAGACACCCAAATCTCTAGGAATTCCCAATTTTGAGTGGGAATCGGGGCATGAAGCTCTCCCACAGGCCATAATTCAAGCCAGTTTTCATCTAGAAGCTCAGAGGCAGAGTGAACTCAGACTGTATCTGATTTAAATAAAAATTTTATGAACATTTAGATCAAATCACTGTTTAGGTCCTTCCAATCCCCAGCCTGTATGATTTCGTGAGCCCTCCTCTCCTTCTAAGCCCCGTGGTCCAGACCTGGGGCAGGCCAGCCCCTATCCCCACGGCCGGCTGCAAGGAGGGCCGCTCTTTCCCCCTGAGCTTCCCGGAGAGCACCCTGCTGTGGGTGGGCCTTCCACCCAACTGATCGTGGATTGTGCTGTGACTATATCTGCAGTGACGGAGGATGTATGGCATGAGAGGAACCAGGGAGAGAGAGCAACTGCTGGAAAAATCCATACAGCCTGGGGCAGCAGAGGTGGCAGGGCGCCTTGGAAGGGCTCAGCTACCCAGGCGGGGTGTCGGGTGGTGGCAGCAGTCGGGAGAGTGGGGAGCGATCAATCACAGGGCCTCTTGAAAGCAGGACAACGCTATTGCCCAAGACTAGCACACGAGCCCAGACACTGCATCTATGCCAGAGACGACGGAGCCGCCTCGCCTGACCCAGCTCTGGGCAGCGCTGTGGGTAAGGGCTCAAGCCCTGCAGCCAGACAGTCCTCCCCTAGTGTTTCCACCTGTGGGACCTTAGGTAGGGGAGGCGCATGCTGTAAGCCCAGAGTCCAGATCTGGGATTACATGCCTGTTTCATGGGTGTATCGGAGAGGGATAAAATGATTCAAAGCATGTTAGAGATGTAGCCAGGTGTCTGGCACAGAGCAAGTGCTCAGTGACTGTGAACCATCGGTTCAGAGGAAGGTGGGCCAGAGCCCCTGGGGAGGGAGTGTCTAAGCCTGTCCCCTTCCTAATCCTCCTCCCTCGGGGACAGAGTGCAGAAGCAGGAGTGGCACTAGGAGGAGAGCCAGGAGCCTGGGACCCTTCCATCCGCTGCCAGCCGTGGGCGCTTTGTTCTTGCCTCTCATGTTACCAAGTGGGCATTGAGCAGGAGGGGGACACAGGCACGCTGGGGAGAGGAGGTCACGGGGTCAGGCAGGTAGGAGGGCGTTCGGGGGAAGCCTCCAGGCGAATGCTGACACGGGGGTCCACTGTTTGCAAGGACAGCAGGTGGGCAGGGCCGGGGCCGCCTGCTCATCAGGACTCCTCCTGGCCCCTGCACGCTGAGGCAGCTCACTGGAGCCCTGGCCTCTGCGGTTCCCGTGGAGCACCTGCTTTCGCAGCACCCATAGGCGCATTTCCACAGGGACGGAGTGAGGGAGGCTTTTTGATGGGGAGGGGAGACTAAGGACAGCTGCGGGGCAAGGTGGAGGGGGGAGGGAGCCCAGAGTGCTTCAGAAAGCTCCAGGAGAGCAGGAAGAAGGTAAGCTACTCATGTCGCAGGTGCTGCACGGGCAGGTGGGCACTCACAGGGTCCTGCTGGGGACTTCCAGGCTATCGCGGAAAGAAAGCACCGAACTCTGTAACCGGAGCCCTGGACCCACCGCCTGTAGCCACAGATCCTTGCCTAGGTCTCGTGTCCTCTCTGAGCCTGATTTTCCGTGGCCCTTTTGGTTCTGCATGAGCCCCACACATGGCTCTGACATGGCCAGTCCCTTGGCTCTCGGATGTGTCACTGGAGCATAGTGATGAGACATGACCTGACACACAGAGACCTTCCCATTTGCATGCTGGTTTACATGTGGGGACAGGGAGACAGTCTGGGTTCGAGACTTTGTCTGGTCCTCGAGTCTCTCTCTTCCCAGGTTCCTATAACCAGAAGTCAGGGTTTAAAAACAGAAGAACTTCCAGACTTTGCCCTTACTATGATCTTGAACAAATCCTGTAGCTACTGTCCTGTGAAGCTTAGCTTCCTCGTCTGTAAAATGGACTCACAAGTTACTTTTGAGGCTGCCCGGAAGTGATGAGAATGAAAGCTTTTTGCACTCCTGAAAGGCCCATATGCACGTCATTGCTGAGGTCCTAATCTCTAACCCCCGCAAGCCTGTGGTTTCTCTTCTGTGCATCGCCGCCACCCGGCTGTAGCCTGAGGCTGCCCAGGTCCATCTCATGGTGTCATAGGAGACACAAAAGTCTGGGCAGGAAAATAAAAAAGCTCTCCAGATGTCCCTAAAAGGACAGTCCCCAGGCATTGCCACAACCAAGCAACTTTCTGGAGACATCACCTAATGCCTCGTGTGGCTTTCTTCCCTACGAATGGCATCTCCCGCTGTGTGGCTGGGGCACTGCCACCCCGGTACCAGGATCCCCCTCTGGTGTCCTCTTGCACTGTCTGTCAGTCGGAGCGCAGGGCCATTGGTGACAGAGAACAGCTGTGTCTGCGGATGGAAGGGAAAGTTCCGTCTAAGGAGCACGCTGGCTTGGTGCAGATGAGCCAGCCCCTGGGCACCTCACGGATGATTTTTCCTGTGCTCCTGCCAGGGGCTGGCTCATTTCTTGATTTCAGACCTAGAATGACAGAAGGTTGCCTCTGCTAAGATCCCCCTTCTCAGTTACTCTCTGCTGAAATCGCAAACTCCTAGACCCGATTCAAAGGCGAAGCTTCACACCACACCGTCCCCTTGCACTTTGCACACAGCACTGCAGTCTCTGGGGAGCACGACTCTTTGCTTATAACTTTACTGTGGCACTTTCATTTTCTGGCCCTGTGTCGCCCCTGTCTGTGTGGCTCACATCCCTCACGAAGTTCTGATCCCTGCGAGGAAGGGGAGCCTCTTCCTTGCTTACTCGGCACGGGGACGTTTATAAACCAGCTTCATACGTCTTACCTTATCTGAACCTCCTTGAAATCCCCCCTCTGCTGCAGAGAGAGGGCAGGGGCAAGACTGACCCTCACGGTCTGCGCCCCCATTCCTGGCCCAGTGCGGCTCGTCAGAGACGCTCCACGATCGCTTGTTGAGTGAATTCTCAAGGTACTGTCCTCATTACCGAAGGGAGAAAATTGAAGCTCACAGAGTTTCAATGACCATTCTAAGGCTTAACAAATGCTCAAGACCAGACACAAATCCAGGTCTTCCGACTCCAACTGCAACACTCTTTCCAGTGGAAGAGAATCCAAGGAGAGCTGCAATCATTCCCAGGCCGGGATCACAGTTCTCAATTCCCTTGGTCAGTGGAAGCGTGATCTTTCCCACCATGATCCCTGGCTTCTCTCTTCCCTTTCCAGCTTAAATGCTGTGCATACTTGGGCTCTAATCCCACAGCAAAATTCAGAATTTTCTGGATGGCATCCCGCTGTTCTGAGGCTGGGTTAACACGTGGGCTGATATGTGATTCCTCATTCCTGCAGAGTGGGGCCTGGGACTGCCATGAGCACCCGGACGGACCCCTCCAGGCAGCAAACAGCAGCGCCATTCATGGACCCCAGGGTGCCGTAACAGCACTCCCACACTCCATGTGTGCACGCATGAACCCAGCACACAGCAACCACACGCACACATGCACCGCTCAGCTCCCCAGACAGCTCCCACTCTCAGCGTGCCTTTCTAGGCAGGTCATGGCAGCTTTTCCGGTCGTCTCCTTCGGGGGCCCAGGCTGTGAGATGGTCTCTCCAGCTTTCTTAACAAAATCTCCCTCTACTTGTCTTTTGTTTGTTCCCCAGAGTTGCTCTATGGGGCACCTTCCTACATGAGAGTCCCCAAACCCCACCAAGGGTTAGAGAACCGGCTTTTGGAGCGGGGCCTACCAGATCTCAAATTCCAGCTTTGGCACTTGCCAGATGTGTGCCCCGGGCCAAGTCGTCAATTCAGTCTTTGTTTACCAACTTCCTCTTCTGTAAAGTGAGAGTGGACCTGAATGAAAGCATGTATGTGAAGCACTTAGCAAAGTGCTGGCACCTGGTCATCACTGGCTGTGCAGTAACTACTGTTATTATGGTGTGTTGTCATAGTCACCATTATTATAATTACCCAGGTTTTACCATCACTTTCTGTTCCATTTATGACTTCAGACAACGCATCTAAAAGCCCCCATGACAAAATCTGACGCAAAGCAACAAGAATGAAGTGCCATCTCTAAAACATTCCTGCAAAACAGCAACAAACTAGAATCTCATCAAGCTTTTGTATTTAAACACCCAGGTTACATTTAAGTTAAATATCCCACTTAGCAAAAACAGGTTACGTTTATGTTAAATATTCTGCTTAGCAAAATGGGGAATTCTACAGGAAGAAATGACCTAGTTTCTTCAACAGAACAAATGACACAGGAAAAGGGGAATGCAAGTATGACAGACTGAAAGGAAACAACTGCCATGCGTAGCCCTTGGACAGATCCTGATTTAAACATTGACAGTAAGAAGTCCTCTCCTCTCCCCCATTTTCTGGAGAAAATAAATAAATTTGAGCATAAACCAAGTATAATTGTAAGAAATTTTGTTATATATAATTGTAGAATTATAGTTATGAGCTAAAAAGTGTTTATTTATTAAAAACACATACTGAAGTCCTTTCAGGGAAGATTATAATGCCTATGATTGGCTTTAAAATCTCCAGGGGAGAAAAAGGAGGGTGGGTGGATGAGATAAGATGAGCTGAGGAGATGACGGAACCTGGGAGACAGGGGTAGAAGGGTTAGGTTTAACCCTTCACTCTTCTTCCTACTTTCATGCATGTGGGGACGTTTTATAATGAAGCACACACACAAGTAGACGAAAGTTCCTACTGATGTAACTTCGGCAGTGCTCCTGGTTGGGGCACAGCCGCGCACGTCCTGGGAAGGAGCCCGCTCCAGCCCCAGGGAGCAGAGGGGTCGGGCCCGGATCCCACAGCCGTGCCTGCTGCCCTGGCACTCAGGCCTCCGCCATGCCAGACCCGTGGGACCTTGGACCAGCGACCTAACCTCTCTGTGCCTCAGAGCTTCCCCTCAAAACTGGGCATGGTGATATCAAGGCCCTATGTTTGCTCACAAGCAACATTCAAAATGCCTTGCTCCTCCCTCGTTTCTCAGTCTCTGGTTTCTCTACAGCTCAGATGGTGACGGGAACGAGCACTCTGTGAGCCTGCCAAGGGGTGCTGCCTGTCTAGATGCAGCAGGCCTGGCAGTCTTTGGTGTACGGAATAGAGCCTGGGGCCTAGTCACCTCCTCCTTCCTGTGCATATGCGTGAATCATAGCTTCAAGACACCAACATAAAATGTATCTTTCACAGTCAAGAAGCAGTCCCAATGAATTTGAGAATTCTTGGCTATGCAACTTTGATATCTTGGCCCAGAAGTGAGAAATCTGAGCCAACTTGATATCTTCCTTTAAGAATCTGCTAATTTTGGTGCCGACAGCGTTTCACCAGCTGTCGATAACGCCAGTGAGAAACGAATCAGAGGAGCTTAAAGGAGCCACATGTGACCCGCTGTGGATTCAGACCCAACCACACACACGGACCCTGCGACACAGGCGTGCCGTGAACAGGCAGCAGAGTCTGGGTTCAGGCTGAGCTGAGCAAGTGAAGGGGTCCAGGCCAGGTGGCCTCAGGCCTTACAGGCAATGACAAGAATTTTGATTTGTATTAAAAATAATCAGAAGACTTTGGAGAGTGAAGAAATCTGATTTGCCCATCAAATGACCAGAACTGAACTTTTGCTTTTAATTAGCTATAATTAGGTCATTGCAAAATTAACACAATTAATGAGCTTGAATCTGGGAGTCTTCCTAAGACAGCAAAGTCGGGCAGCGTAATGGGACATGTTCACGAGCATGGCCACTCTGTCGAGGGAGGAGTCCCCGTCAGGACCCCGGGTGGAGGACCCAGGCCTCCCCAGATCACCCCCGTGGTTACGGCTCAGTCGCTCTAGAGACTGCTCAGGAATCTCCTCCCCCGCTCGCCCGATGTCTGCGAAGGAGGGTTTCGTGCGTGTTGGCCAGAGGTCTAGTTGCTCGTAACAGGTAGGAATTACTCGCTGGGGCCTGAAGCAGAATTGTTGGGGTCGCTTCTCCTTGCCCGGTCCCCTCCCCTATGCCCCACAGGTCCTGGTTAGGGACCTCCTTGGCCAGATGGGCATCAGGTGGGCAGGATCCCACCGCCCATCTCTGGGCCGAGGGGGCACTTTCTCCTTATCCAGAGCGTGTGCAACAGCCTCTTGTTCTGTCCTTGGGGTTTAGGGGATCGCTTGCTCCCCCGCCCAGCCTGGGTTCACCCTTTACTGATTTCATGTACTTGGTCACCACCCAGGTGAGTCTCTGGGGCCCGTGCCCTTCTCACGGCTGCTCACCCTCCTCACCTTGCAGGTATTTCCTTCTCTTTGAGCTCTCAGAAGCCGCTGGTGGTGGGTGTGTGTGAAAAAGCCTGTGCCCGTTCCTGTGCCAACTTCATCACCAATTAAGAAAACCTTGGCATCCTCGAGGAAAAATTTTATTATAAATTCTTAAAAACATATTTAGAAATATCAGCAGCATGATCATTAGAATATATTATTCAGTTAGTTAAATGTGCTTTTATAAAAAAACCCATGAAATGCATCTTCATTGTAAGGGCATCTGTTGTTTCTTGCAAACGATTAGCTGTCACTGAATCATCAATTTTTTATTTTATTGTGTGTCTAAGGCCATTTGTTCTAATTAAGGACTATATACCAAGCTAAGCAAACTGGCCTCATTCTGTAAAAGGGGCTTCTAATCCTGCTTTGACTACCAGTCCTACATGTGCTGTAGAGAACTGCCCTGGAGTGACAAGTGTCAGGGCTGTGGCGCAGGCATGTGAGGGGTGTGTGAGCTCAATGCCATCGCAGCAGGGTCCAGCCCACCAGGGCCCACCTAACCATCCCCCTGCCCCAGCCTGGTGCAGCCCTGACTCCCCAGAGGGGACGGGCTGCCGAGAGCCCCGGCCCCTCACTGCCCTGCTGCTGCCCGGGCCGCCCAGGGGACAGCAGGGCCCATGGGGGGCTCCTCAGGGTCTGGGCCAGGCGGGAAGCTGGGACTGCAAGGAACAGCGGACAGGAAGGAGGCAGCTCCTGAAACCGGGCTTCCTCCCTGAGAGGTGCATCCTCAACCTGGGGCCTCGCCTCCTGGCTCCTGGTGCAGACAGGAGGGGGGGGTGCTGGGAGGCGGTGAGAGGAGGGGAGGAAAAGGGGAGAGGGAGTGAAGTTTATGGAGAGGTCACTGTGTAATGAGAGGTATTTATAGATAATAAAGCAAAGAATATTAAGAGTGAAGATGATAATGAGCTGAGACGAGAGGCTTTATGGTTTTCCCTCCGGCCACACGAGTGTACCAAGCATAAAAGATGGGAAATAAAAGCAGAGATGGAGTTGTTCCTTTCATAGGAATGCTCTAAAGCCAACACATCACACAGGTGGATTTGGCCTTGGCCTCACCCTGTGGACCTACAGACTCATTCTTCCCCTTTCCCTAAAGGACCCCCCTCCCTCACTACAGGGCCCTTCAGAGAGATGTCCCCCCACTCCACCCACCACCCAGTAGGCCGTTTCCTCCCCATCTTCCAGATGCACCCCAAGACCCAACCTTGTTGCCTGACTCTGGCAGCCTCATTTCCCTAGGAATTCTTGTCATTTGAACACAAGCCAGGATATTCCTTGGCTAAAAGTCTCAAGAGAAGCATAGGCCAGTTCTAAAAGGTTCAGGGAATTTGATGCAAGTTTTAACACTCTCAAATTATAATGTTGAGCTGTGTGTGTGTGTGTGTGTGTGTGTGTGTGTGTGTGTGTGTGTGTGTAGAGCAGGGAAAGAGAATACATTTTTTCAACTGTAGGGTCCCTACCTTCAGGGACATGCTGTTCTGGCACCATTTGTTGAAAAGACTGTCCTTCTATGGAATTGCTTCTGCACCTCCATCAAAAGCAATCGGGCATACGTGTGGGTCTCTTTCTGTATTCTTTTCTATGGCCCATTAATCTATGTCCGTCCCTCCACCAATACCACACAATCTTGATTGCTATAGCTGTATGAGCTCTATCCAGAAGGTACCCAGCCATTGTTAATACAGCGAGAATCGTTTGCACAACATCAATGTAACCCGGCAGCCAAGGCGAGTGGACTGGAATGTGCGTGCGTGAACGGTGGCGACTTCACTGTGCTGGTCAGTCGGGCGCTAGAGGCCATTGAGGGAGCATGTGTACTGTGTGGTCGGCATATTCAAAGTGACTGAGCGAGTAGAGCAATGGATCTGTATCAAATTTTCTGTTAAGCTTGAACATTCCTCCGAGGAACCTATTCAGATGATTCAGAAGGCTTTCAAGGATGATGCAATGAGTGCAGCACAAATAAAAGTGTGGCACATTCTTGTGATATTTCACTTAAAAGGATGGGCTCCAGTTCCTGCACATATGGCAGTAAAATTAAATGGAAATCCAGCAGGTGGGGGTGGGGGGTGAGGGGATGGGTAAATTCACACCTAACAGCTACGATGCATTCCATTTTCTGGGTGATGGACACACTTATAGCTTTGACTTAAACTGTACAAAAGCAATCCATGTAATAGAAACATTTGTACCTCTGTAATATTCTGAAATTTAAAATAAAAGTGTGGCAAAAATGCTTCAAAGACGGGTTGGGAATCTGTTGAAAGTGATCCATGTTCTGGAAGGCCTGCAACAAGCAGAACACCTGAGAATGTCAAACGTGCACGGGCTGCAATCCACAAAGATCAGCAACTGACAGTGAATGAACTGGAAGCTCATCTCTTCCCAAAACTACTGTGTCCAAGATTTTGATGCAGGATCTTAGCATGAAATGTGTTGTGGCAAAACGTGTTCCGTGGCTTCCCCTACCAGAGCAGGAGTACCATGCTGCCATTGCTAACGTCTTGCTTCAAACCACTACCAATGAACCAGATTTCCTCAAGAAGGTCATAACTGGTGATGCATCATGGGTCTATG